GCCTACTTTTCAAGATAAGATTTTCAATGTGTTGTAATATTCTCAATGTATTAATTCCCTTCTCTTCTTATTCCTGGGCTGGAGTGATAGCACAGCGGTAGGGCATTCACCTTACAAGCGGCCAACATGGCCGACCCAAGTTCGATTCCTCCGCCCCTCTCGGAGAGCCCGGCAAGCTACCGAGAGTATTCGATATGCCAAACACAGTAACAACAAAGTCTCCAATGGAGATGTTACTGGGCCCGCTCGAGCAAATCGACGATCAACGGGAGGGCCTTTACCTTTACCTTTACCTTATTCCTGGAGTATTAGTATGCAAAGATACAAATTATACTATATTTTGTCTTTATTTTGGGGAAAATAATTAAGATCTGTTTTATTTAACTTGTATTTTAATATTTAAATTATGCTTTTAGGATAACTAATATCAAAATAGTATAGAAATACAGGCATATTTCCTTGTATACAGAGATGTATTTCTGGTCATCTGAATTCTTTTAGCAAGATGGGGACAGAGAGATAGCATAGAGGGTAGGGCACTTCCCTTGCATGTGGCCAATCTGTGTTCAAGCCCACACATTCCATATGGTACCCTGAGCACACCAGGAGTGATCCCAGGTCACAGAGCCAGGAGTAAGTCCTGAGTATCACCAGGTATGGCCCAAAAACAAAATAAAAATTTTAACAAGAGTAATAAAGTTATATTTCACCCATTCATCATTTATTCAGTCTCTCCTTTGTGGGGTAAATCTTTAAGAGCACCCAGTTTGGTGAGTGGCAATAACGTGAAGTAGTGTAAGATATTGCCATGAGCTTGCACCCAAAATGGGAAATAATTACCTGCCTGAACTGGGAGTAGAAGAGGGAGACTGAGGATTGGAAAAACAGGATCAGGCTGTACAACTTTAAAAATTTCTTTAAAGTAGTGACCAGAGAGACCTGTGGGGAAGGTGCTTGCCTTGCACACAGCTAAACTGGGTCCCATTCCTGACAACTACCTGTTGAGCCCCTCTAGGAGTGATTCCTGAGTATACAGCCAGGAATAAACAAACCATGAGCACAGCTAGGCATAGCCCCAAACCCTCAACCCCTCCAAAACCTAACACCAAGGCTTCTTAAGAAATACCCATCTTTAGGAGGCTGAAGAGATAGTACAAGGATTAAGGAATTTATTTTGAATGTGACCAATCCTGCTATAATTTCTGAATATAGGAATATACTCCTGAGCCAGGAGTAGCCTCCCACTGGAACCTCCCCTCTCCCCTCCATTAGATAATTTTTAAAAAGATATACCTTATATTTCTTATGATTAATTTCTGCTAGGTTATTCCTCTGCTACCATTGTTTTCATGATCACTGTTGAATTGTCTGAGGCTCACATTTTATTGTTATGCTTGCCAGGGGTCAAATACCTGCTGTGGTGTCAAGGATCACATTAGCAGTATTGAGACTCATACCCACATACCTACACATACAGAACAGGCACCTGACCTCTGAGTCACCAGCCTTGGACCCACTGTTGCGTTCTTTTAAAGCAAGAAGTAGGTTTTTGTCCCTTATCTCTTACAAAGCAATTACTTGTAAGTAGTATGACTTGGGCAAACCATAAATTATTGAATTTGTCTTTAATAACAGTAACAGCTAATGCTTGAAGAGCCCCTTTTATGTGCGAGACACTTTTTTTAGCCATATACCCATATACAGACAGACAGATATAAGGTTCATCCGTATTAGGTGTTATTAATTAGTAGCCCTATTTTACGTATGAGAAAGAAACCACACAGACATTCAGTGAAGTCTCAGAGCTAGTAAGTGACAAGGCTGGGATTTGCATCCTCACATACAAGATTCAGAATATGTGCTCTTTGTTCATGCTGTAAGCCCTCACTTCTTTAATGAATGTGTATTATCCATGTGTTAATGATCTACCCATGATCAATTTTTATTTAATGTTTATTTCATGGTAACTGAAGTATTCCAGGGTGGAAGATAATGCAGTTGTTTTCTGGCCTTTTGAATAGAACATGTTATTTTTCCCCATGAAAGGAGCTTGTGAGAAAATAATCAGAGAACTAAATGTTATTTTGAGATCTAGAAAATAGCTGTAATAGTCTTAAGAGAAACATTTTCTTAGTCATCATGTGGGAGGTAGAATTAATAGCATATTTTATTGAGGAAAAGATATATTAGAATAAACACTGACAAAAAGCAAGGATATGTAAATCTTTTTCTGAGTAAGAAAGAAGATCCAAAGACAATTTGTATACTTCAAATACTTCAAAGCAGTCAGTTTTCCTAACAAATTTTTCTTTCCTCAATCTCATATTTTATATTTATATTTAAAAGTTAACAATCTTCAGAGGGTAGAAATAAGCTTCATCAATTACAAAATGCAAGAAATATTTGCTCTTTTAATGTAGTTCCTGATATAGGAGTTTAACTCATAAGATCCAATTTTGATATTATTTTTATTTATTAAAGCTTTTAAAAAGTTCATAGGATAATCTGACCATCTCATCTTCTTCCTGTTCCCCCCCTGCCCATCCATAATTCATTGTGGTTTTTATGAAATCTGATAAGATATTAATGTTTTTCTAGTAAGTGCTCCAAAGAAGTAAAATAACAAATTCTTTGTACGTGAACAAAGTAGAATAAGCTGTTGAAACAAATTCTAGTAGTATTAACTTGGTGTGGTACTCTTTCTGTTCCGTCCTATAGCAGGGTCAGTATGTTTCTTTTTTTTTTTTCTTTTTGGGTCACACCCGGTGATGCACAGGGGTTATTCCTGGCTCATGCACTCAGGAATTACTCCTGGTGGTGCTCGGGGGACCATATGGGATGCTGGGAATCGAACCTGGGTCGGCTGCGTGCAAGGCAAACACCCTACCCGCTGTGCTATCGCTCCAGCCCCATTAGTATATTTCTTAATGTCCCTGCCTTGAGTACATTTTCTTTGCTTCAGATATTTCGACCTGCTTTATATTCCCTAAATATGCCACACACTCTCAGGCTCCCGTGATTTAGGCAAGATGCCTATATGTATTTTTTTTCTGGCTATATATGTTTTTTTTTTTCTGGCTAATGTTTCTGGCCATAACTCAGCAGTTACTTTTTTTCCCCCTTTTTGATAGTGTTTCCTGACACAAAGTCAAAGTGACTTGAATGCCAGTTCTCAACTTTCACTGTTCAAATAGCATCCCATGCATAACTTTCTTACAGTACTTATTATGCTGAGTTTTAATCCTGGGTTTCCTTAACTTTATCTGATGTGTTCGGTGTTTGGCACATGCGCGAGGTGGCAAATATTTACAGGATGAATGTGGTCAGCTGCTGCTTTCAGACTTCATTTTAACCGCTGGTGCTGCAGCAGGAGAAAGAATGGAAATTCCTTTAAGAGGAGAACATCTTGTGAGGCTTGTTCTGAGCTCTACTCCCATAGTAGACTGTTGGGAGTCTTATGTTGGAGAAGACACACATAGATGCAGCATGACCAAATGGAAGTGTGAGACAATAGAGACAGTGTTGAATTTATAACACATACTACCTGCATGGTTGAATTTACAATAGGCTTTTATTTTCTTTAAGTAGTATAAAAATCATCTTGCTTTTCTTGAGTTTGTATGGATGTTCCTTATATAATTCCCTGTAGGTTTATCTTTCTATAGTCTGTGTTTTGCAGAGAGAATTTTCAAGTCATACGTATTTTGAAATCCCTTTCTTCCTATAATACAAAGATTATTTTTATTATTAAGTTATGTATATTTTGGGGTTTGGGTTTTTGACAGGTCTTTAGATTTTTCTCCTGGCTCTGTGCTCAGGGGGCACTCCTAATAGGGCACAGGGTATCAAACCCAGGTTGGCCACATGCAAGATGAGCGCCTTACCCACTCTACTATGTCAGGTCTCCAAAGGTCATTTTTTTAAAACAAGGTGAGGAATTATCTTTGAGTCTACATTTTAAAAGCATAATCTTCTATGGGCTGGAGCAGGTAGGGTATTTGCCTTGCAGGCAACCAACCCGGGTTCAATTCCTCTGTCCTTCTCGGAGAGCCCAGCAAGCTACCAAGAGTATCCCGTCCTCATGACAGAGCCTGACAAGCTCCCCGTGGCTTATTTGATACGCCAAAAACAGTAACAAGTCTCACAATGGAGACATTACTGGTGCCCGCTCGAGCAAATTGATGAAAAACAGGAGGACAGTACAGAAAGTGCTAATCTTCTATAGGGCTATTAATGCATAAATCTAGTCACAAATACCCACAAGTGGGTGTATTGTATAATATACCCCAAATTGCATTATTACCAAACTGTTTAAGTTAATTGGTTAGACCTACTAATCAAGGGTCAGGGAGGTAATGGTAAGGGCTAGAACACAGGCCTGTTTCGCTGTGTGCCTACACATTCTTGGGCCCAAGTAGCGCCATGTCCCTGAGTAGGCCCTAGCATTGAACTCTGCACCTGTGTAGCTGGGCCAGATAGTACTAGGATTGGCACCCAGTCCCCTGGGAGCCCCCTCCCCTCAAATGAACATCGCCACTGAGGAGTTAAGTATATTGGGGGATTTTATTTGCTAAAACATTTTATATGTTATACTATATAATATGTGATATCTTTGCTTATTACCACAACTTTTTTTCCCACAAACTTGGTACGATGTCATTCTTAGTCAGCTAGCAAATTTACTTATTTTTATTAAAACATTTTATGTTTTTTGGGGCCAGAGAGATCGTACAGCAGATATGGCTGTTACCTTACATGCAGCAGATGAGATTCAATCTCCATGGTCCCCTAAGGATGGCCAAGAGTTATCCCTGAAAGTAGAACCAGGAGTAAGCCCTGAGAAGGGCCAGGTGTGACCGAAAGACAAAAAAATCCTTTATGTCTTTAATAAAACAATTACCTCATGTAAATATTACTATTCTCTAAAATATTAACTAGTAATATTTTGTTGATACTTCTAGCCTTTCTTAGTCAATATTACTTTTGTTTTGTTTCTCTAGAAAATAGACCTTGTGTGTAGTCAACTACGTTGGTGTCTAAGGCAACCAAATCTTCAGTGGAAGGCTTTGAATGAAGATTCAAGAAGCCACTTTAGTTGATTCAAAATGGGAACGACTAGTGATGAGATGGTGTCTGTGGAACAGACTTCCTCCTCCTCTTCCTCCTTCAATCCTCTGTGTTTTGAATGTGGGCAGCAACACTGGACAAAAGAAAACCACTTATACAATTATCAGAATGAAGTGGATGATGACCTGGTCTGCCATATTTGCCTTCAGCCTCTGCTGCAGCCACTTGATACCCCCTGCGGACACACGTTCTGCTCCAAGTGCCTCCGAAACTTCTTACAAGAGAAAGATTTTTGTCCGCTAGACCGGAAGAGACTTCACTTTAAGTTGTGTAAGAAGTCTAGTATTCTAGTTCATAAACTCCTGGACAAATTATTAGTATTATGTCCATTTTCTTCTGTGTGCCAAGATGTCATGCAACGCTGTGATCTGGAAGCCCATCTTAAAAACAGGTGAGCAGAAATATGAAAGAGGAGTTACTCTATGCTTTATAAAGGCTGATCCAAGAAATAAAAACTTGAAAAATTAAAAGGAGAACTTTTAGCTTGAAATTTTAAATTAAAAATTCTCTACCAAATATCAGTAAATAAATGGACAAATTAAATGTAGATAATTCATTATGTAAAATAGGTTGTGTGAAATAATAGCATGATTGTCAATAACTGAATATATAAGCTGTAGTGAAGATGTATACCATCTTCTATCTCTTCATTTCTGCTGCTATACTGTGAAGCTTTTATATTCATATGGTAGCAGTATATATTGATAGATCTTCTTTGCAAGTCATTTTGGCAGTTCATCTCATCTACAAATGTAAATATTCTTTTGTCTAGCTGATCAACCTAACAAAATAATTCAAAAGAAGGAAAAGTCATATATAAAAATATTGAGAGCAACATTGTGTATGGTTGGTTTTTCTCAGTCTATTTAAGAAGAGATGAAGGGTTCAGAATAATGATAGTATATCAACTCGATGGGATATTATGCAGCCAATAAAAATAATTTGGTTGCAACATAGAAATGTGTATACATAGTTTTATTTGCTAAGATCTTATAAGGATGACATGAGAAGTCAAGCAAACAAGAATTAGGAGTTGGGAATTTAAAAACATTTTGTGGAGGTGTTTGTCTAACCTGTCAAAGCTTTGTAAAGAGGTTAAGTAACTTTTTAGCCAGGTGAGTCTAATAATTTGAAGGGTTAAAATACCTTTCATGCTGTAAATAAACCAAAAAAAAATCAGAAAATAACACTCACAAGAAGAGTAGTGGTTTCTAAATTTTAAAGTGGAGCCAATTGTGACATATAAATCTGTAGTGATATTGTTTGCTGTGGGGAAAAATAGAGAAATGATATACAGGGTCCGGGATGTGGCTCAGTAAGAAAGCATATGTAGTCGTTAGACCTGGAGAGTGTGTTTCTAATAGACGATGCTTCTTTCATCAGTCTGACGGAGATAACTGGAGGCCCTGGAGCAGGTAGGATTGAGAACTGGATCCTCTCCAGTGTCTCCTGCATTGTGGCTTCAGGGTAATAAGGGTTTATATGTGGCACTGATTGCTCCAGTGCACAGGTAGACACTCCCTAGACTTGGTATGTTCTAGCCTTGAAAATAAGATCCATGACATTCTTTATGCTCTTACCCTATTAGAGGGAGTCTCAAGGCCACCCAGTTTCCAGGGGAGACCTCGCTTTGTGATAGGGGGAAGTATAAAACTTTGCAGTTGTTTCAAAGTCGTCACAATCCTGTACACAGCCTTACTTATTTGTTAGAAATTGAGGTTTCACTGAAATTTATAGAATGATCATGATTCATTGTGTAATGTGACCATTCTGTGCCCTTGTTCTTGATGTTTCAAAATCTCTTATTAGTACAGCAGTAATATTAGGAGTAGTTTGTATAAATCTGGTGATTTTGAGTATAAATTTGTCTTTTCTGTTTGAATTTCTGTTTTTAAATAGTATGCTTCAAACAATAGTATGTAAAAATTAAATAAAAATGAATTAAGGACAAAAAATAAAGCACAAACTGCCTAGTGAGGAAAACAAATCAGTATAACTATTCAAATAGAGTTGTTATGGAGAATTGTTAACAGTAAAGTTTGCACAATCAATTTGAAAAATATTCTGTTCCAGTTTGAGAACAACTGGATGTTTCCTCCTACAGTTAACAGATTTTTTGAAAGATACATGGGTTTTTAAATAAAACTATAGTTATTAACTAATTACCAATTAGTAAAAGAATTAAAACTTTTTAAAGACATGGGAAGGTGACAGTCTTTGAAAGAACTAAAGCCTTTAAAAAAATTTTTTATTCATTGTACTAAGCATTTTACAGTTTTTTAGTTGTGAAAATCTGCTAAGCATCATCACTTGTAAAGCATTTGTCATTCATGCTCTACTCCCTCATCTGTCTCATTTGTCAACAATTTAACATTTAACTATTTTTTCTTCCCTTAAAAATTTATGGTTAATACTGTTTTAAAAAGTTCTTAAAATATGCAGAAAACCTTATAGAAGCTTTTTTCCATGTTGTCATCTTTTCTGATTTATCAATTTGTTCCTAATGTGAATCATGATGGGAATGATGCCACCATTATTGTCACCTGAGTTAATTCTTGGGCAGTTTTTCCCTGTGAAGAGAGCCAGAATAGTGGGGACTGGAAGTATAACCTTCAGTAGGAACAGATAAGTCTTCATTTTGTTGTTTTTAATTTTGTTTGGGGCCACACGCAGCACTAGTCAGGGGTTACTCTTGGCTCTGTGCTCAGGGATTACTCCTGGTAGGGGCCAGGGGACCATGTGGGATGCCAGGAATCAAACCTGGATTGACTGTGTGCAAGGCAAGCACCCTACCCTCTGTACTATCCCTCTGACTTTAAGTTTTCAGTTTGACTTTGGCTGCTACAAGAACTTTTTGGTTTTGTTTTTAAAAATTTGTAAGACAAATATACAAAAACACCTTCATAGTGGGTTTTTTTTTTCCCCCCCAGAAAAAGCTACTCAGCTGGTCTGTCTCAACCACTCACTTTCCCCTTTGTGAAAGTGCAACCCTTAACCTGTGACAAATCTCACTGCTTCCAATTCCCTCCTTAAAGGCAGCCTGCTGTCCAGAATTCCATCCCTGTTTGCATTGTCTGAGCACAAGCCAACCCTAATCTAATTAAATGTTTCATTTTTTTTCTATTGATTTCTATTTAATTTCCTTGGTGCTGGTCTCTTTCTACACTGTTAGCTGCTTGAATAATCCAGGTTATGTAGCCCAGGGTCAATTAGGGCTTGTGTTAAATACTCCTTTTTGTTTATTGAGTTTTAGGTACCACCTGACAGTGCTCAGAGGCCGCTCCTGCTGGAGGATCATTTTTGGTGGTGCTCAGAAGACCAAATGCCATGTGAGGCATTGTTCACATGCAGAGCAAGAGCCTTAATCCCTATTCCTGTGCCTGGAATGCTCCATTTTGAAAAATGATTTTATTTTGTTGTTTGATTTTTGTTTTTTAATCATCAGGGAGGCCTTTCCACTGACACATTCTGTTATTATTTCTAGGTACAAGTTAGTGGAACAAATTGTTTTTTAAAACTATCAAAGGAATCAAAGGAGCTCTATAAGAATGGGTTTTTTAATATGATAATACAGGAAAGAACAGACATCTGTGAAATTAGATCCACTTTTGCTTGGATAGGGTTCTGCAATGTAACGCCTATGATATAGTTAGGTTTCACATTTTGTTTCTCTTGGTATAGTGAGGATCTCTTGGTATAGAGTGGTGATGAGGACTCAATAGAACATTGTATATAAATGACCTTTACTTAGTGACTGAAATATATTAGCCACTAAGCAGTGTTAGTTTCTGTTTTTCAGCAGGTAAGTGTCTCTATAGAGAGTCTTATTGGATCTCAAAGAGTTCTGGTTCTCCTTCACTAATTCCTTTTTCCTTCTCCCTCCCTTTAGATTATTGAGTCACTTTGTCCCATGAGGGGGTCTTATGGAAAAGAATTGACAGCTTTGAATCATTTCTAATATATGTCATATATAAATTTCTTAGGATCTGTCTTCTATTTTGTTTGCTTAGAGCCAAACAAGCTAGCAGGGCTAGAGTGATAGCACAGCGGGTAGGGCATTTGCCTTGCATGCGGCCAACCTGGCCAACCTGAGTTCGGTTCCTCCGCCCCTCTCAAAGAGCCCAGCAAGCTACCGAGAGTATCTCGCTCACACTGCAAAGCCTGGCAAGCTACCTGTGACGTATTCAATATGTCAAACACAGTAACAGTTGTCACAGTGGAGAGCAAATTGATGAACAACAGGAAGACAGTGACAGTGATTAAGATTAAAAAGATGCACTGTTTGGGTCTTCTGAACTGCTTTTTACTTAGAATTACTGCCTTGCTGTGGTATAAACTATCACCTCTTTTGCTTTTAAATCATCTGGTAACTACCTGATTTTTTCTTTGTTATGTTTTGTTTTTTTTCCCTTAAGATGTCCTGGAGCTTCTCATAGGAGAGTTGCCCTAGAGAAAAGGAAAACTAGTAAAACTCACACAGAGCTTGAGACTGAAAATGGACCTGCACTAATAGATATTCCAAGTACTTTAGCACCCGAAACAGACTGTTTGGGGCCAGGCAGAGTGCCTGCTGAAGGGACCTTGACCTCGGCCTCTCTTCCCTCCTGGACCGAGGAACCTGGCCTAGACAACCCAGCCTTCGAGGAGACTGCTGCAGCCGACTGTATGTACCCAGTGCCTCCTGTGGTCCTAGCCCACACTGCTTCCACTTTTCTCAGTGGATCATGTCATTGTGATATAACTCACCCACCTATAATTCATCCTTTGACTTGTGCAGTTTTAATAGTTTACATTAGCGAAACAACATGAACTTGCTTGAGGATGGTGATCCTTTCCCATTCTTCTACTGTAGTTTGTGAACTCACTAGGCATTAACATGCTGTTCAGTGTGTGTGCATTTAAAATACTTGTTTTAGATCAGTTAACAAGTAACATCACTGTAGCACTGTAGCACTGGCCTCTCATTGTTCATCGATTTGCTCAAGCGGGCCCAGTAACATCTCCATTGTGAGGCTTGTTGTTACTGTGTTTGGCATATCGAATACGTCATGGGTAGCTTGCCAGGCGTTGCAATGCAAGCGAGATACTCTGGTAGCTCGCCAGGCTCTCTGAGAGGGGCGGAAGAATCAAACCTGGGCCGACCAGGTTGGCTATGTGCAAGGCAAACGCCCTACCCGCTGTGCTATCGCTCCAGCCCAAATACGGCAAAACAATAAAATCAGTATATCAGGTTTAGTGCTTACTGAGTCAGGTTCTAAGTCAGGTGCTATATATTCAGAGACTGATTTATTCATGTGACACTTTTATAAAATTTTTGGGAACCAGATGAGAAAACTTAGTCCTGAGATAATAATTTTTGGAGCTCCAACAACCAGACAGAACCTGAGTATATACCTGTCTCAAAGGCCATGCCTATGACTGTTGTCAATCTCAGTGGCAGCTGCTGATCTGTCGGTACAACCCCTAGGTAATGAACAGAAAACCTGTATTCAGTGATCTTGGGGCTCTCTCAATAGTTGGTGTGAGGTATTTGCTTATGAAAATGATTCTCTATAAAGTCTCAAGTTTACAATAAATTCAAGGTTTTTCCTACCACAACTAGAACTCTTACCTTAAAGTGATCTTTAAATGTGACATAATTCTGACAGCACTGTGGTGATCTATACCATTGCGTTATTTATGATTGCTTCATGGACGAAACCTTCTCTTATCTGTTAAGACAAAAATACATAGTCCTAATATTTATCAGATCATTGTGTCCCCCATCAAGTTTTTGATTATTGATCATCTTTGGAAGAACAAACATTTACTTAATCTTAACATATTGTTGGGGGAGGGTTATCATTCTGGTTCTCTTATCTAGTGGTGTTGCTTATTTATTTATTGCCTGTTAACATAGGATGACTTACTTACCTAAAACTAAATCAGAATTATAAAACGTCTTTCTTTCCATCTATTTTTCTCTCATTTTTAACTTGACAGCCACACAACAGCCACTTAGTTTACCAGAAGGTGAAATCACCACAATTGAAATTCACCGGTCTAATCCTTATATTCAGTTAGGAATCAGCATTGTGGGTGGCAATGAAACGCCACTGATTAACATTGTTATTCAGGAAGTCTATCGGGATGGAATAATCGCCAGAGATGGAAGACTCCTTGCTGGAGACCAGATTCTTCAGGTATTGATGTTTAACCATTCTGTTAATGTGTACCCTTTCCTTTTTATTCATAAGTTTAAAACTCATATATTAGTCATATGTTTAGAACTGCTGAATTCTAAACATAATGTATTATTGTGGAACCTGGATTACTTAAAGGTTGTTTTACAATTTTTACGTGTGAAACAGAACGATCTGTCATTTCCCCGTATCTATAGAATGTATTTATTATTTTTATACTATATTTTCAGTTCAAGTTTTCAATCCCACATATGACTCAGCTTCTTTTACTTGGGTTTTATGGCCCAGTTGGATTGTCTCTGGCTGGGACTCCTTGGTTGACTGTTTCAGGCTACCCTTATCCACAATGAAAGTTGTTTAACCCATCAATCTTATTGCTAGTCCAATTTCCTATCTGTTACCCTCACTGTCTGATACATCTTTCTCTAATTGATTATCAGAACTGATAAAAGATAGAACCAGGCAATACTTTTAACCTATACCATAAACTTTAGCAGAGCCTGGCAAGCTCCTGCGGCATATTCAATATGCCAAAAACAGTAACAAGGATGTGTCTTATTCCCCTGACCCTGAAAGAGCCTCAAATGTGGCACCGTTAGGAAGGACAAGTAAGGAGAGGCTGCTAAAATCTCAGGGCTAGGATGAATGCAGACGTTACTGGTGCCCACTCGAGCAAATCAATGAATAATGGGATGACAGCGATATACTGAAAACATAAACTTTAAGGTAGAATTTAAAAATAGCCACTTCCTAGAAAGGGACATTCCTTCACTGCTGGTGGGAATGCCGACTGGTTCAGCCCTTTTGGAAAACAGTATGGACGATTCTCAAAAAATTAGAAATTGAGCTCCCATTTGGCCCAGCAATACCACTCCTGGGAATATATCCCAGAGAGGCAAAAAAGTATAGTCGAAGTGACATCTGCACTTGTTTGTTCATTGCAGCACTGTTTACAATAGCCAGAATCTGGAAAAAAAACCTGAGTGCCCGAGAGAACAGATGACTGGTTAAAGAAACTTTGGTACATTTACACAATGGAGTACTGTGTAGCTGTTAGAAAAGATGAAGTCATGATATTTACATACAAGTGGTACTACATGGAAAATATCATGTTAAGTGAAATGACTCAGAAAGAAAGGGATAGACACAGAAAGATTGCATTCATCTGGGGAACATAAAGTAACAAAATAGGAGACTAACACCCAAGAATGGCTGAGATTAGTACCAGAAATTTTACTCCATGGCTTGAAGGCCAACCACACATGCTAGGGGAAAAGGGAGCTCAGATAGAGAAGGGAACACCAAATAAAGGTGTTGGGAGGATCCTCCCAGGATGGGAGAAGCATGCTGAAAGTAGACTATAGACCAAACATAATTGTCACCCATTGCCTCTTTTGCAAACTACAACACCCAATAAGAGAGAGAGAACAAAAGGGAATGCCCTGCCACAGAGGCAGGGTGGGATGAGGGGATGGGGGGTGGGAGGGATACTGGGATCCGTGGGGGAGGGGGGGGAATGGCCACTGGTGGAGGGATGGGTATTTGATCATTGTATAATTGAAACCCAAGCACAAAAATTTGTAAGACTACAACTGTACCTCATGATGTCTCACTAATAAAAATTTAAAATAAAATAAAATAAAAATAGCCACCTCTTGGGGCTGGAGCTATAGCACAGCGGGTAGGGCATTTGTCTTACACGTGGCCAACCTGGGTTCGATTCCCAGCATCCCATATGGTTTCCGGAGCACCGCCAGGAGTTATTCCTGAGTGCATGAGCCAGGAGTAACTCCTGGGCATCATTGGGTGTGACCCAAAAAGCAAAAAAATAATAATAATAAATAAAATTTTTAAAAAATTTAAAAAATAAAAAATAAATAAAAATAGCCATCGCTTATTGACTCCCTGATGCTTCTCAGCAAACAATCTTTCACTAACCCGTGATACAGCCCATCACCTCTTCCCTTTCAGAAAATGATCTTTAAGAAGAAATAATTGTTCCTATAAAATAGCTAGGGACAAGATGATATTTTATTAGTGTGCATATTGAAATTGAGGGAATGGGTATGGTTAGAATTATACTGCAGAGAATTGGAATTTATCTCAATACCAGCCTAGATATTTGAGTCATAATTGAGCAGTAATCCAAACTTAAAGAATTGATAACTTCTTAAAGGAAAGGAAAGAAATATTTGTGAAGAAAAAGTATCTCCTTGAAAGCCAGGCTTACAAACTCTTTCCTCCTTGTTTTCACTCTTCAGATCTTCATAATGATCTGTTGATATCTCTTTATTTTTTTTGCAGTCTTCATTATTTCATACCTAATTTAGAACAAAATCTTATTATGACCTCCTACACCCAACTCTCCATACTTTAATCTGATACTACATACCGACCACCAGATTAATCAGCCTGTAACTATTTTTCTTGGGAAACAATATTGCAGATCTTCTGTGGTCTCTTATACAAACTGTCACCTTACCCTTAATTTTTCAGTTCAGGCATAGCAGGTTGGTTTTTTATTTAATTATATCTACACCCTGTACGAGTTGCTGACGAGACAGTGAAGAGCAAAACTCTGTTCCAGTTCTCATGGGATTTATACTCTAGTAGAAAAACTAGATAGGAACTTTCTGGCTTCCCTCCAGACAATTTATTCCCAGTTCAGCCTGTCTTCATTGTGTTAACAGTCTGCTTTCTTCCTTAAATTTTTGTTTAGTTATCCCCACCCATTATGACCTCTTATTACTTAATTACTCACATAGCTTAGCAAATCATATACAATAATATGGTATAGCGTTTGTTTTTCTACATTAAAAGATACACTGTTTTTTTCTACATTAAAAAAATACACTACATGAAAAATCAAACTGTGTATGATTCTATTAAATAGCCTATTTGGAAGGGAGAATCAGATAGTCTTGTAGCTTTTTGCTTTGCAGCCTTTGAGTTGTTTGAAGAGAAAGGTTGTTGCTGTTCTATCAGTTTCACTGTTAAAAACAATACAACTTTTAGCCAAACTAGTAACGTGTTGTATTGTATGGACTGAGGCTTATAAGCATTTATGGGCCTTGGTGGTCAAGAGAGCAGTCAGTGGCTTGCTTTTTGCTCTCATTATGTACAGTGGCATTAGTAGAAGAAGAAAAAGTTTTGGTGAATAAAAAGATGGGGAAAGATTATGGGCCTTCTGGAAGTTTGATAAATGCTACTTTTTATTGAAAATTCAGGCACTGAGGGTGATGGCATACTTAAGTAAAACAAAAACTCAAAGAAACACTTGGATTCTGACTAGAACAAAGGTTACCAGAGTTGAAATAGGAGTTAGAGTCATGGCTGGAAAGAGTCCATTGGACCTGAAAGAATATGGTATTTTGGTGGTGACATGGGTATGATGTAACATTTGAAGGGGTATGAACCTATATTTTATAGTAGATACTTTTTACTTTGATCAGTCATCAATGATTTAACCATTTTCAGTTTTCCAGGAAAATGACTACCATTTCTGGTACTAATATTAGTATAAGGTACATTTACACTGCATGGTAGAGATTACTATGCTGGTGTAAACAAAGTCCAGGACAATATTTTGCTTGGTGTTTTTCTTTCTTTGCATTTCTCTGGCAACCAGATGTTTATAAAGGACCTATCTTTTTGCAGTTGTAGGATATTCCACAAAGTAATATGTACTTTGATTGTCTACTTTGTATTTTTGTAGAATAGTCTACTTCACAAAGATGATATCAGGTTTACACATGACGGTTGCTGTTTTGTAAGATTACTTGATGATATATCTGCATATAAGAGGGGGAAATGTAAATGTAGAGAGAGAGTTAATTTTTTAGCTGGATAACTAAAAATAATTATTTCTTACACAATGTCAAGACTAATTTTTAGGAACTTCCTTGAGTTTTATTTATCTTATATTATTAAACATATTTATCACTGATGGATGACTATCAAATACCTAGATACTACAGGTTTTGGAGAATAGAAATTCTGTGTATGACATCTATGAGTTTAATGACTAAATTTTAGGAGATCTCAACAGGCCCAAATCAATAAACTTTAAGTTATTCAAATGTTTAGAACTATCAACCCTAGATAACTAAGAGGCCTGAACACTTTATTATTTTTTTTTCTTTTTGGGTCACACCTGGCAATGCACAGGGGTTACTCCTGGCTTTGCACTCAGGAGTCACTCCTGGTGGTGCTCAGGGGACGATATGGGATGCTGAGAATTGAACCCGGGTTGGCCATGTGCAAGGCAAACGCCCTACCCGCTGTGCTATCTCTCTAGCCCCAAGGCCTAAACACTTTTACACCGAGATTCACATGAAAAAAAAAATTAAGACTATTAGGTGGCCACAAATACCCAGTAGAATTTAACACATAACAGGTGTTAAGAGAATATTGGCTTTCCCCTGGTTTTCCTCTCAAACAGATTAAGAGAAGAACTCTAATAATTTCATACTCTAGGTGAATATTGAAGCTAAGTAAATTTTCTGGCCAATGTTACATGTCCAATGATTATTCACTATACTTCAATGTTATGAAGTTTAAGAAAAAGATGCTCTGTGGGAATTGAAATATACTTAATGAATTAGATATATATTATACCCATGTACTAAAGAATACAATGAAGTTATGATTACCTGCTTTTTTTTTTTAGTAAAAGTCACTCATCTGAAATAAAGTTATAGGGGTCAGAAAGAGAGTACAGATGGTGAGTCACTTGCCTTGCATTGAGCCAACTCTGGTTCAGTTCCTGGAATAGCACTGTCAAGAATGATCCCTGAGCACAGAACCAAGAGTAAGCCCTGAGCACTGCGAACCAAGTGTAGCCACAAAAACCCAAAAAGTAATATAGACACAACTGTATTTTTGGGTTGTGCCTCTTTTTGTAAAATAAAACCTAAATTTTTTCTCACATAAATGCATTTTATTTGGTAAAACAAATTTGTAGCCCAGTAAACTTTAATTTCCATACCATATAATTAGTATTTCATTACCCCTGGCTGATGTGTGTTCATCGCCGTCCCAATCCTATGAAGTAGAGAGTAAACACATTTTACAGTTGAAGAAACACATTCAACTTCTGTGATTTACCAGGGGTCATCCATTTAGTACATAGCAGAACCACAAACCCTAATCTAATACTCTCATTAAAGCGTGTGATTCTAACTGCAGTCTCTATCATTGTAAGCTAATTCTAGAACCTCTGGAGTGATAGCATACCAGGTATGGCATTTGCCTTGCGTGCGGCTGACCCGGGTTCGATCCCCAGCATCCCATATGGTCCCCTGAGCACCGCCAGGAGTAATTCCTGAGTGCAGAGCCAGGAGTAACCCCTGAGCATTGCCGGGTGTGATCCAAATAAAATAAAATGTCGTTAGAGGGTTCCCATTGTAAGTAGTGATTGCATAGCATTATTTCAGTGTCAGTTTTCTTTGGAAATATTACATGTCTGCAAACTCCGGAGATGAAAGATAGTCACACTTTCGTTTATTGTTCTTTTCTTTAGGTCAACAACTATAATATCAGCAATGTGTCTCATAACTATGCCAGAGCTGTGCTTTCTCAGCCCTGCAGCACACTGCATCTCACGGTGCTTCGAGAGAGACGCTTTGGCAACCGGGCTTACAACCATCCTGATAGTAACTCTCCACGAGAAGACATCTTCCATGTGGTTCTCCATAAACGAGACTCTGGTGAACAGCTGGGCATCAAACTTGTACGAAGGACAGACGAGCCGGGTGTCTTTATTCTTGACCTGTTGGAAGGGGGGCTGGCAGCCCAGGATGGGCGGCTCAGCAGCAATGACCGGGTGCTTGCTATCAATGGGCATGACTTGAAGCATGGCACCCCGGAGCTTGCAGCCCAGATAATTCAGGTACTCTCGATATCTGTTCTAGAGGCTCATTAGCATACCTTTGTGTTTGTTTTTATTTGTAAGTGGCATAACAGCCAGGTGGTATATGATATCTGATGAGAGAATCAAATATGATTCCCTGTATTAATCTTCCAAACCCCAATAACAGAGCTACACCATAGATAGGATCTTTTAAAAACACTGTCCCTATGAACTTTTAGTCTGGCTAATTGTGAAACAATGGCTCTACGGTTGCACGTTCATTTCACGTTTGCTCTCTGGGTTAACCATAGTATCAGACATAACCGATGGGGGTGCCTACCTTAACCAGGAGAAAAACAAGCACAAAGTCTCTGAGTTTACAAAGAACATGATAGACCCACTGACCAAGTTTTAACTCTTCTTCCCTTCTTGGGATCCATAAAAAAAGACTGGGGAGATGGGGATAGCTTTTTTAATTATTATTATTAAAAATAACTCTTAACTCTATATTGCCCTTTTTGTTTGGGGAGCCTGAAGTACTAGCAGCAGCCCCCAGTGCTCTCAGGGAACATGGGGTGAAGGGGATCAAAACCAGACCCTTGCATTGCGAAGGCTTGTGCTCTGTCACTTTCCGTACCCCAGACCTTTCTAGTACCTTTGTCAAAGGGAATTCAGACATCGCAAACACACCATAATGTTTGTTCTTCTGGTTTCCTGTAGAGTCATTGAAGGTCATTACTAGAGGAAATGCATGCTTTCTGTGTGACTAAATAGAACATAAATGAGAAAACCATCCAGTAAAGATTTGGGTTCTGCAACATGGCATGGCATTAAATTTTTATAAAGTGTTTTTTAATATTATGGTTTAGTTAGTTCCAATAGTGTAAGTTTCATGGTATCAGTGCACAAAGTTACTGCACCCCACCAACACCAGAGTGCCCACGGTCCTCCACCGCTCACTGTCCCTGTCTTACTTCCAGTCTGGTCTTCCCTCCCCACGCCTCCCCACCCCCTTTGTAATTATATTCCAAGGCCAAGGGGTTGTCATTGTTGAATACTCTGTTATCTTGTATTCTCACTGTATACTACAGATAAGTGAGATCATTGACTATTTTCCCTTCTTCCTCTGATTTATTTTGCTTGACATGATATCCTCTAGTTCCATTTGTGTTGCAGCAAGCTGCATGATTTCATCTCTTCTTATAGCTGTATTGTATTCCATGGTGTACATATATACAACAGTTTCTTTAGTCACGCATCCATTGAAGTGCTTAGTTCAATGGCCAGAATACGGAAGCAACTCAAATGTTCATGGCATTTAATGTTATGGTTATCTCTGATAATAATAGCCTGGAACAAATATGTGCAACTTTTCTGAGTAACAACAAAAAATTATAAAGGAAATGAAACATTAATATAATTGAGCATAAGGAATTAAGGTATGTTGATATACTATATAGACTCAAACAGCAGGGATAGTTTAAGATTAACACAAGTCTCAATCCCCTTATCTCTTATTTAACAGAAAAAAATTTTTTTAGCTTTTGTTCATTATGATCTTAAGAGGAGAGATACACTTACATACATACACATAAAACCATAGTGCATGAAGAAGAGATTCAGATTTTGTCTCATTTCATAGACTAGAGATTTAAAGAAATTGAATGATTAAAATTCCCTCAACTCAGGGGCAATATTAGGACTTATGGACACCAGCCAATGACTTCCGTGCTGGAAACAAGTTTATCCTATGTAATTGTGGATTAGAGGAGTATACCACTTAGTACCATAGCTCCTCAAAAATAGATTGTAGGAATAATGGTCAGAGTGGGAACTGAGGTCCTGACCAAGAATCATCATCATATGTCAGCCCTGTGCATTAAAGGCAAAGATAAAATAACTTCTCAAGGTACACTGGGTGGATATTTTTGTTTATGGTATGGAAATAAAGATATAGATTATGCACATCTAAATATAAATTGATAAGAACATAGAACATTTACTTAATAACACTGAAGGACATGTTTGTGTGTAGTATATATACACTCTACATATGTAATACTGGTCTTGTTCTACAGGATATTTATAATCAGACTTTTCAGAAATGTTTAAACTCATATCCTATTTTTGACTCAGTTCTATAGTGAACAAAGGCAAAGCTATGCATAATTTTGTAGATTATTATTTCCAAGGGCTGGAGTGATAGTAAAGTGGAGCAGGCAGTTACCTTGCATATGGCTGACCTGGGTTTGATTCTTGGTATCCCATATTGTTCCTCTGAGTCCCTCATGAGTGATTCCTGAATACAGAGCCAGCAGTATGCTCTGAGCATTGCTGGGTGTGGTTCAAAACCAGAAAATTTCAGTGGACTTTAATCAAGTTTTTATTAGTTCTGTGTTTTATTTTGATTTTTTTTTTAATTTTGGGGGGCCACATCCAGAAGTGCTCTGGACTGATTCCTTTGCTTGAATGACTCCTGACTCATTGCTTGGGGGGGGTCACTCCTGATGTCCTTGGAAGGATGCCAGGGAATCATACATGTACTGATGATTGAACTGAGGTTGACCAGGTATGAAGCAAGCACTTTACTGCCTGTGCTGTTTCTTTAGCCTGAGTTCTATGTTTATATTCTTTGTTATTTCATAATGCCAGGATCAATCTTGAAGGGGCAATGAAGTATTAAAATAAAATTACCCTTGAAGAAATTCTGGGACATCAGATGATATTTGTTTTTCTCCACACCACTTCACTATCGTTATGCCTTATGACTTCACTCATGTGTAAGATAAAAGAAATGTCAACAAATGAAACCCTTAAAATGATAAGAAAAAAATACTTCTACCAGAAGGAAAGGGAGAAGATAACTAGTAAATTAGACAGAAAGACTCAGTTTTATGAAGAAGGCAAGAAGCTAGATTTTATTTGGCAATCATAATGCCATTATTAACTCATGATATTAACTACCTTTCCTACCATTAAGTGTTTACAGCCACTCCTTGAACAAAAATCTGGACTATCAGGAGAAATATCCTGAAAAATTACACTGCCTATACGTTTTAAAACCAGAACTCTATGGGTTGGAGCGATAATACAATGGGTATGGCTCTTGCCTTGCATATGGCCATGGGTTCAACCCCCAGCATGCCATGTGGTCCCCAGAGCACTACCAGGAATAATTCCTGATTACAGAGCCAGGAGTAACCTCTGAGTACTCCAGGTATGGCCCACTATAGCACTGTAGCACTGTCCTCCAGTTGTTCATCGATTTGCTTGAGCGGGCACCAGTAACGTCTCTATCCTGAGACTTGTTACTGTTTTTGGCGTGTCGAATACATCACGGGTAGCTTGCCAGGCTTTTCTGTGTGGGCAGGATACTTGCTGGGCTCTCTGAGAGAGAGACGGAGGAATCGAACCCAGGTCGGCTATGTGCAAGGCAAATGCCCTACCCGCTGTGCTATCACTCCAGCCCAAGAAGAAATAAAATGAGAACTGTCATTAATGAATGGTGATAACATGTAAAAAATCTTTGAGGGCCCCAACGGATCTCCCTGGCCACCCAGGTTCTGGCTCACCCAGCCCTGGCGGCCCAGGCCCTGGGGCAGAAGGCAGAGGAAGCGAGGGCCAAGCGGGTTGATTGATCAGTTTATTCCATTCTCCCCACATGCCTGCCCCAGTCCATCTGAGCCTCCCATTCTAGTCTCCACTCCTCCTCATTCCTCAGTCTCCTGTCTCTCCTGCTCATCTCTCTATGCTCCATCTCGCAGCCTGGGTTCTCTCTTCTTTCTCCTCCTTCTCCTTTTCCTCCTCCTCCTCCTCCTTCTCTTCCTCCTCCTCCTCCTCCTCCTCCTCTTCCTCCTCCTCCTCTTCCTCCTCCTCCTCCTCCTCCTCCTCCTCCTCCTCCTCTCTCCTCCCTCCTCGCTCCTCCCTCCTTCCCCTCTCTCTCTACCCCTTGCTAGCCTCTCTGCAGTCCATCATGCTGCCCTGCTTTCTCTCTCTCCAAGTCTCTTGCCTCTCCAACTCCCCTGCACTCTGGGCTGACACTGCACCCAATCAGGTAGCAAAATCAACATAAGAAAGCCCTTCCTGTGGGCCCACCTAGGATATTCCAAAGCCCTTCCTGACTGCCCAAGGGCAAAATACCCCTTAAGATGTTTTTCTCTTTTCCCTAGTCCAATAACTCTATAAACATCTCAATACTAGTTATTTCTGTATGGACACAGTAAGAGATAACATTGAGGCTTGTAGGGCAGCTCTCCTGGGAACATCTTGCCACAGATTCAGACTACAGCACTCAGGCCAGATTAATCATTCCTAACCCTTGCAAGGTCCAAATCTAGTTATTACTTTTTGGATCATGACAGCTTTTCTCCATGCCCAAGCTCTTAATTTATAGTTAAGCATTATGGCACTTTGGCCAGGCCCATCTTGATGCCAGTGTAGCACATAGCTTACCGCTTGCCCTGGTTCTATCCAGTTCCTAGTAGGGACCCTGCTTTTGGGAGCGCCAGGAAGTAAAGGCAGCTGAGGTTTAGGTGAGAGAACAGATACCCAGGGAAATATCACTGAGAGTACACATTACAAAAGCATATCTTCTTGTGTCCTTACAAAAAGGGCATTGCTCTGAATAAACTATACAGAAGACTTAGGCAGAAGAGAAAAACAATATTTACAAGTCAACAGAGCACAAAGAAAGAAGTTACAAATAAACACAGAGGAATGGGAACATTGTGATGGGAGCAACCCAATATACCTAAACTACCTGAGGCTATGCAGGAAGGACAAAACAGTGTTATCCTACAGTAACTTTTTTTTTTTTTTCCTCCAGGCTAGTGGAGAAAGAGTAAATTTAACAATTGCTCGACCAGGGAAATCCCAAGCTGGTAATAGTAACCGAGAAGCAGGAACTCCAAGCAGTAGCCAACACCACACTCAGCCTCTATATCCCAGCAGACCCAGCTCACATAAAGTAAGGTGGTGTGTGTGTGTGTGTGTGTGTGTGTGTGTGTGTGTGTTTACCTCCAAAGGTGAACTACTGCATGCTAAAAAAGGGAAAGCTGCTATTCTGTTTGAAAAGGTGACTGTAGTTGTTTGGGAGTTGTAATGTATGTTTAGTGCTTGAAAAATGACTATGCTGTCTTAGCTCCTCACCAATTTCTTAGTGAGGAATGTCTCTCTGCCAGGTCATTGATGAGAAGTATTTGATTGTCAAAAAATATCTGTTTGATTAGTCCTGATTGAAAATGAGCTTCATCCTGGGTTGCTCATTGTAATATAATAGTTTGTTCTATAATTGAAAAGCATAATGAAGGCAAGTCTGCTTAGCAGTTGAGCATATTGCCTATAACAACTGAATTAGATATGTGAGTTAAACGTATAAAACATCATTTTTGATTGCCTAATGTATAACTCATTTCCTTCACTGTTATAGCTAATGAAATACTATACTAAATCATTTAAAGTTTCCATATGTTGAATACTTTTTTGGTTTTACTGCTTCTTGAATATTTTACTGATTTTATAGTACATTGTTTAATTATCTATGTTTAGAATTTGTTTCTTGTCTTTGAGGGCCATGCTTGTCTGTCAACTCCTGACGGTTCAGTGAGCATTTTAGAGGGGTTTGGTGGGACCATATGTGGTTTCAGGGATCAAACTTGGGTTGACTGCTCTTCCTGTGTAATCTCTCTAGCCCTGTGCTTAGAATTTTTAAACTGCCTAGTTGTAGAAAAATTTTCCCGCCTTTGGCTTTATTTATTTATTTACTTATTTATTTATTTTTGGCCACACCTGGCAGTGTTCAGGGATCACTCCTGACTCTGCACTGAGGAATTACTCCTGGTGATGGTGCTCAGGAAACCATATGGAATGCCCAGGATAGAATCCAAGTTGGCTGTGTGTAATGCAAGTACCCTCCTGCTATGCTATTGCTCCATCCCCAGTAGAGTTTCTTTTAAGGGCAGTACTTTATTGTTGGTATTATTTACTTATTTTGAGCCTTCATCATGGCTCAGTAGGCAAGGAATTTTAGAATGATAATGTTTTCCCCCAACTAGGTGAAGCTATGAGCTTCCAAAAGAATTCTTTTAACGTAAAGTAATATTGCATTACTTTAAAAAATTATGATGGTGGTGATGATGATGATGATGATGATGATAGTGTCTGCTTAAAAGCTGTAGGTTTTTCTGATGTACTGAAATGGCTTCTTAATGTAAGTACAGTATCTGAAAGAATAATTACTTTGGAATGTTGCAGGGACCCTATAAAAAGCATCACTTACAGGCACAAGTATTTGGGCCTATCAGGTTTATCTGGTTTTCTGAGCTTAAGTACAGACTTGTCACTGGGCTATGGTTTAGTTACTACTTATGATAAATTATAACCACAAACTGTTCTCATTTCTAAACAGAAACCAAAATGTATGAAGGAAGCCTATAATTTTGCCATCATAATGATGGATTATAAAAAAAAAGAGGTTATTGTTTGGAATAGGAATTTTGAATAGGAGTTATTTCATATAGCTCCTTTGCAAGGACAAGCTATATATTAGTTCCTTGGTTAATAATGATAATTTTTAGTGGGGAAGGTCCCTCTGCCAGGTGATTGATTAAAAAGTATTTGGTGTTCTCAAAGTTTGGTCTGTAGATTTATTTCTGCTTGAAAATGGGATTTTTCTCAGTTCTGGGGTGTGTGTTTGTGTGTGTTTGTGTGTGTGTGTGTGTGTGTGTGTTATATGTGCTATGTATCTCATTGTGTTTTCATATACAATATATGCCTAAAAATTATTTGGTAAAAGTTAACTGTTGACTCCTTTAGAACCTTTTATGTCATGAAATTCTAGAATAATTTGAGGTTTGGGCACCCTTGAGAATATAAGTTTGATACAGATTTTAAATGTTTCAATGAACTCATTATTAGGGACACACATATTCATTCTCTCTTTAATCTGCTCATTCCAGTCCTCAGTTTTATAGGACCATGTTTTAAATTAATATTGCTGAATTTTTATTCTGTGTGCTCTTCATATTCTAACCTGTTTAGTTAGAATAATTACACAAAATGTACTTTTGTTTGTTTGCTTGATTTAGGTCTTTGGACAACACCTGGTGGTGCTCAGAGGTTACTCCGCTCTGGACTTAAGAATCATTACTGGTGGTGCGTGGGTTCACTGTATGGGATGCTGAGGATCAAACCTGGGGTTGACCACATGCAAAGCATACACCCTACCTGTTGTATTATATCTCCATCACCGAAAAAAGCACTGCCAGGAGTGATTCCTAAGCACCCCTGGGTGTGGCCCAGAAACAAACAAAAAAGACAAGAGAAAGAATATTTTCTGGAACACATTGAGTATAATCTTTGAAGTTTGGTTTGGCTCCAAAGGAGGTGAAATGTATACCTCTAGAGAAATTTAACAAAATCCACCCTTAATTGATTAAATACCTGAAAATTAAAACTACTTAAATACACAAAGCTGAGTTTACCTGGGTTATCTTCATGGTAAACTGGACTTTGCCTATTTTTGAAGGATACTAATAAATATCTTTTACATTTAGATAGGTGACTCCCTTAAGACAGTTCAGAGTTTTGCTACCAGAGTGGTAATACAGCAGGTAGGACTCTTGCTGGCAAGTGGTCAACCTGGATTTGTCCACTGCGCTCCATATGGCCCCTCAAGCTCTGCCAGGAAGTTCCTGAGCACAGCAAGGAGTAAGCCCTGAGCATTGCCAGGCGTGTCCACCCACCACCCACAAGAAAAAAAAAAACTTAAAAGTTTTCCATTAGATTGTGACATTTTCTAGGACCATTATATTGTTATTATAAGTAGTTCCCATAATAAAATTTCAAGAGTATATGAATTCCAGATCTAGGGAAGGGCAGATGGACCTGGAATTCCAGGGCCTAATTAAGTTACATAGTTATATATAAGACAATTCTTTAAAATACCATCACTAAAGTATAAGATAATCCTGTAACGATAATTTGTATATTTCTGTGGTTGATGATGGTATTATTAATAATGTTAATTATTATCTGCTGATAAATGTTAGAAAAGATTTAAGATATAGGCTTCCACTATTACACTTAGTAGTCATGAGGGTGCATATGAAGAACACATGTACATAATGTTTCATGCTCTATGTATAGACACAGAACATGAATATCAGTTTTAATATATGTCCATTCAAATCCCAGAGTAATCACCTTTAGCGATATGATTTGGAACAAGTTACATGTCTTTTTGTAGGTCATTTTCTCATCTATAATAAAATGGATCCATTTACTCTTTACAGTAGCCTTGTAAATATGCTAGCAGTATTTACTTTCATAGCCATTATAAAGAGCACATGAAATAACGCATGTAAAGTCACTAGATTTATACTTAGTAAGCTTTCGATAGCATTAGTTTTATAATAATAATAAGGTTACATATGGACTGAAGCGATAGCATAGCGGGTAGGGCATTTGCCTTGCATGCAGCTGACTCAGGTTCGATTTTTCCGTCCCTCTCGGAGAGCCCGGCAAGTTACCAAGAGTATTCCGCCCGCATGGCAGAGCCTGGCAAGCTCCCCGTGACGTATTCAATATGCCAAAAACAGTAACAAGTCTCACAATGGAGACATTACTGGTTCCCACTTGAGCAACTCGATGAACAATGGGAGGGGAGGACAGTGCTACAGTGCTAAGGTTACATATGTACACCTTGAATTTGTTTTTTAAATATTTTTTATTCCAAAGAAAAGTGATGTTAAATCCTCCTTTTCTTCCACAAGTAGTAGTAACAAAGGTCAGTAAAAATAGTTTTCCCCGAAAATATAGTTGGTTTAGAATTTACTGATCATTTCATATATTTATAGTTTTTGATGAATAATTTTTTGGCCTGGGCCATAGGGTCACACCCAGCAGTGCTCAATGACTACTCTTGCCTCTGTGCTCAGGTGTTACCTCTGACATTGCTCAGGAAACCATATCTGGATCTGAGACAGGGTCAGAAAAATGCTCATCAAACACCTTAACCCCTGTTCTCTCTCTCTGATTCATTTATAAAGGCTTTGAAGTTATATTTGCATTTTCTTTATCATTGAGTGTTCTAGAATCTTTACCACTACAAATCAAAAGATAAGAATGTCTTTTATTCCCCTGGTATTTGGTAAAGTTCACACTTTTTTAAAAAAATTTTTTTATATTTATTTATTGAATCACTGTAGGAAAAGTTACAAAGCTTTCAGGTTTAAGTCTCAGTCATACAATGATCAAACACCTTTCCCTTCACCAGTACTTATTTTTCACCACCAAGAACCCAAAAATACCCCCCTCCCACCCCTCCCAATGCCTGTGAGGCAGATGATTTCTACTTAACTATCTATTTTGCTTACATTCATTATTTCGACAAAACATGCACCATTATTGTTTAGAATTTCCACCCAACAATCAGAACTGCTGAAAAGGCATTGTGAAATAATTTGTTTTCTATAGCTAGTTATGAGGACCATATGATGTCACGTGGCCTCTATCGCGGAAATTTTGGATTTCTAATATTTTACTTATTAAGTCTGGAGGGATTTCTGCCAACAACCAGTTAATTACGAGGTTGGTTTTTGTGGCTCTGGAGCCATGGGCGTGCTGGAGAGCCGCTCGTGGGGGGCAACTCGTGACCTTGGTAGGGCAGGATGGTAACGGCCCCCTTCCCATGAGGTTGCAGTTGCCCCATCACCGCCAGCTCAAACCTGGCTTTCCAATAAGCTCTGAGGCGGCGGCCACCTTGCAGGGGGGTGTGGAGGGGTGTAATGGAGCAACACCTTTTCCCTCCCCGGGAAGGCATGGTACCGTACCATAGATTAACGCGTAGTCCATTCATTTTCTGCGGCAAGCTGCCGGGCTCTCCATTAAGTCCTTGTGCCTCTGGAGCCATGGACATGCCGGAGAGCTACTCGTGGGGGGCAACTCGTGGCCTTGGTAGGGCATGCTGGTAACGCCCCCCCTTCCCATGAGGTTGCAGTTGCCCGGTCACCACTGGCTCAAACCTGGCTTTCCAATAAGCTCTGAGGCGGCGGCCACCTTGCTGCTGGGGGTGAAGAAGGCAGAAGGGAGCAACACCCTTTCCCTCCCAGGGAGGCATGGTACCGTAGATTAACACATAGTCCATTCTTTTCTGCCGCAAGCTGCCGGGCTCTGCATTAAGTCCTTGTGCCTCTGGAGCCATGGCCGTGCCCAAAGGCAGTATGATTCTTCAGGTAGTATTTTTAAAATGAGAATCTCCAGGAGGCGCTCCCAACCTGCCTCCAAGTTCACACTTTATACTATTAAATATTCTGTCAACTTTAAAGTAATTAAGGGCAAAGATTGAAATAAAATTATTTGTCTTCAAATCTTAAAACTCAGGTGCATTATACTGTTAGAGAATATTAATACTGTTAGGTCATATCTTAAAGTTCAAGATTATCATACTAATAACATGCTTGTTTTTCTGTGACGTCTGTATGTCAACAGTCCTGCATTGCTTTCAGTTCTGTAGTCATATGAAAATACAGTTGTCCAAAGTTGGACATTGTGATTGAGCCATATATAGTATATGTACATTATGGTATTTGTACCCATAAAGAGCTAGCGTAACTTTTAGTTCTACAGTAAGTGATGTAAAAACTGACTCTAGGGGCCGGGGAGACAGTACACTTCTAAGTACACAAAGTAAGCCACTTGCTTTGCATGATACTAACCTCAGTTCGATCCCTGACACCCCATAGAGTGCCTCCAGCTCCACTAGATGCAATCCCTGGGCACCACCGAGTGTGGCCTCAAAGCAAAAAAAAAAAAAAAAGCAAAAAACTGATTTTAAGTCATACATTGTTCGTTAACCAATACATTTTCTCTTTCATGTTTTAGGATCTTACCCAGTGTGTAACATGTCAAGAAAAACACATAACTGTCAAGAAGGAACCACACGAATCCCTGGGTATGACTGTCGCTGGTGGCAGAGGAAGTAAGAGTGGCGAGCTGCCCATCTTTGTGACGAGTGTCCCGCCTCATGGCTGCCTTGCGCGTGACGGCAGAATCAAGAGAGGTAATATAGGCTCATGAACAGTGCCACCAGTCTCCTGGAATTCAGTCGCATCGTGAAAAAATAGTGACAACAAATTTCCCATTAAATCATTTAAAAAATTCTTTAAAATATTCTTGCAAATGTGAATATCAAATCTCACTTAGAAAAGTGCCCTTTGTAAAAAAAATTAATAAAACTTAATGATGTTTCCATTGTTTCATAGCAGTCACTCAGACTGTTGGAGTTTGGTGGGGGCAGGAAGACGAGACCACACCCAGTGATGATGGGTGCTACTCCTGGGTCTGTAATTTGGGGTTGTTCCTGGTGGTGCTTGAGCAGATACTTTGTGATGCCAGTGATCAAACCTGAGGAAAGCTGCATGCAAGGCAAGCACTGTAACTCCTATACTGTCTCTCTAGCTCCAGACTGTTGGATTTTTGTTTGTTTTTGTTTGTTTTTGTTTTGGGGCCACACCCAGCAAATAAATGCTCAGGGGTTACTCCTGGCTCTGCACTCAGGAATTACTCCTGGTGTTGCTTGGGGGAGAATATGGGATGCAGTGGATCAAACCCGGGTCAGCTGCATGCTAGCCAAGCGCTCTCCCCTCTGTATTATCGCTCTGGCCCAGACTGTTCGAATTTTATGTTCAAGGTTATGTTTTTTAGACCCTTTCAGAAACTTATGTGTCATTTTGACCGACTTGATATTCAAAGCACGGAATCAGTAAAAGTACTAAACAGTCTCACATATAATAAAGTGTGTAAGTGGACTCACAGAGAAGGTGGAACAAAGAACAGTCAGTAAAAATAAAGATGGTGTTTAAACTCTCTCCTCACCAATTCATTCACAGTTTCAGATTCTCAGTCCTATGTAAATTGCATCAGCAGGAATGGTAATGGCAAAAATAGTATTTCCATGTGCTTGGTTTGATCATATGGAAGAGTAACTCTTAAAAGCACTGTTTCCTGGAGTATGGAGTGATAGTATGCCAAGTAGGGTTCTTGCCTTGCAAGTGGCTGACCTGGATTCGATCCCCGGAAGACGTAGGGTTCCCTGAATACCACAAGGAGTGACCCCTGAATACAGAGCCAGGAATAATTCCTGAGTACCACTGGATGTGACTCAAAAAGTAAGACAAAACAAAATAGAAAAGTGGTGCTAAGTGAAGGGAGCTAGTCCTACATTTGATACTATCGATATGAATTAGAATAGGCAAATCTGTCCAGAATAGGCATTAATGGTGACTTGGGAAGGAAATGACTATTCAGCTTGTTTGTAGCAGGAGGTTGGGCCACACTTGGTGGTGCTCAGGGGCTATTCCTGGCTCTGTGCTCAGGAGTTACCCCTCTAGTGCTCAAGAGACCATACGTTGTGCCAGGGATTCTAACTGCAAGGCAAATCTTCAGGGGTTTCTCTCCATCCCATGGGAAGGGACTGTTAGTGGGTATATAGAGGATTTGGGGGGAAGAAGATCTAACTATGTTGTATGATTGTACAACTCTATTATTGTACTAGAAACCATAAAATTGTGTACTTGGATTTGAATGGTATGTGAATTACATCTTAATAAGATCACTTTTTTTTTCTCTCCCTATTGTAGAACTTTGGGTTAGTTTGATTTCCTTCCTGTTATTTTATTGTGTTTTCTAAAATGAGACTGTTTCACTCTAACAATCTGTAAAATGATGAATTGGAAGACAAATATTTTATGGGCTTTCTTGGTTCAAATGTTTGTGCTTCTTGCAAAACTAATGCTTTCCAAAGTAATTCTTTGATATATTCTTCATTAATAATTATCATTATTTTTGATTATTATATTTAGTAGAGCATCAGATTCTTTCTCTTCTCACAAGCAAGAGAAGATATTCAAATCAAAAATTTCATTTCCATGTGTGAACCCAAGAATATCTTCTCTTTACATGTCTGATACTGTTGATGCTTTGTGAACTATGCAGGGCTCTTTATATATGTAACTTTGTAACTGTAAAAAAATAATAAAATTTTATTTCTAGGCACTAGAGCTATAATGCAGTGGGTAGGGAACTTGACTTGCACGAACCTGCCCTGCGTTCAATCCCCAGCACCACATAGGGTGTCCCAAGTCCTAACAGGAATGATCCCTGAGCACAGAGCCAGAAGTAAACTCTAAGCACTGCTGGGTGTAGCCTCAAAACAAAAACAGAATATTATTCCTAAAAGCAAAGGAGCAGGGCTAGAGAGATAGCACAGCAGGTAGGGCGTTTGCCTTGCACACGGCCGACCCAAGTTCGATTCCCAGCATCCCATATTGTCCCCTGAGCACCACCAGCAGTAACTCCTGAGTGTAGAGCCAGGAGTAACCCCTGTGCATTGCCAGGTGTGACCCAAAAAACAAAAACAAAAAAGCAAAGGAGCAAATTAATTTTTGAGTGAAAAGAACGGTAGAAATCTCTGAAGCTCAAAATGAACTTGCCCAGGCCTGAACATAGCTAAACTAGGGCTAAAAATTTGAACTTCTATTTGAATCCTGGTATCTAAAGCCACACTGTGTTAAATTATTTTAAAAGAACTTTTGTTATTTTGAAATGATCTCCATTGGTTGGATTTTCCTCATTATTATAAAATAAAGAAATAGTTTTTTAAAAACTTTTGCCTTATCTGGGTTAAAATTTATTGAATAGTTTACAAATAGCAGGATTTAAAAGGGCATAATGACTTGGTAGCTGGGCTCATTTTCCTTTTCTTCATTTGAACAGGTGATGTGTTACTGAATATCAATGGCATTGACCTGACCAACCTGAGCCACAGTGAAGCCGTAGCTATGCTGAAAGCCAGTGCTGCATCCCCCTCTGTTGCCCTGAAAGCGCTGGAGGTCCAGATTGTGGAGGAGGTGACCCAGGCCACAGAAGAGCAGCCAAGTGCTCTGAGCGAGAACGAGTATGATGCCAGCTGGTCCCCATCGTGGGTCATGTGGCTGGGCCTCCCAAGGTACAGAGAGGTTCAGGGAATGATCATAATCAGTGCTTGACACAGTCAGTTCACTTACTAGAAAGAAAACAGCTTGAGTTAAATGGAAGTAACAACAAGAAGTCAGGTTACAGAAATATTAGGGTATTTACATTTTTTTATTTTGAATCACCACAAAATACACAGTTACAAAGTTGTTCACGATTTGGTTTCAGTCTTAAAATGTTCCAACAACAGTCCCTTGACCAGTGTACGTTTCCTACCACCAATGTCCCCAGTTTCCCTCCCCACTCCAGCCTGCCTTCCCGTTCCAACCAGCCTCTATGGCAGACAGGTCTCTTTCTCTCTCTCTCCCTCTCTGTCTCTTCTTCCCTCCCTCTCTCTCTGTCTCTTCTTCCCTCCCTCTCTCTCTCTTTCTTCTCTCTCCCTCTCTCTCTCCCTCTTCTTCTCTCTCCCTCTTCCTCTTCTCTTCCTCTCCCTGCCTCTTCCTCTCCCTCCCCCCTCCCCCTCCCTCTCTTCACCCCACTTCCTCCCCCTCCCCCTCCCTTTGTTCCCTCTGCCATTGTGCTTTGCAACACAGGTTCTGAAAGGTTATCATGTATATCACTCTACTTCCTTTTAGCACTCCTTTCTTGTCATGAGTGATCATTTCCAACCATCATTGTCATAGTGGTCCCTTCTCTGTCCTAACTCCCCACCCCACCCTCACTTGCAGCATGCTTCCAACAGTGGACCAGTCCTCCCAGCTGTGGTTATTTACATCATATAAAAGGTACACAATCACAATCACAAATCATCCTGTCATTCGTCGATTGCCTCGAGCAGGCCCCAGTAATGTCTCCTTCATCCTAGCCCTGAGATTATATTCAAGGCTCTTTAGGAGAATGAGACCCATCATTGTTACTGGTATTTGGCATATTGGGTACGTCATGGGGAGTTTGCCAGACTCTGCCGTGTGGGCAGGCTACATTCGGTAGCCTGCCAGTTTGTCCAAAGTAGGAATGAGATAATAAGATGTCATAATAAGATGTTGCGCGGCCGCATTCGGTTCCGGGAGCTGGTTTTTATAGTCTCTGGGTCTTGACCATTGATGGGATTACAGGGCGCCAGGGGGCCAGTTTGTGGGTGTGACCCCCCCCCCCCCCCCCGCCTACTGGAATTTGGAAGATCTGGGTGTAGGATGCTCGGATTGGGGCTGAGCATCCTACACCCAGATAAAAGGTACATTTCATGAAAAATAGTAATAATAATAACAAAAGGTCTAAGCTAGAAGAATGACGTAAGAGGGGATCAAGCAATTCTGAACATTCCAAGTCACTCTTAAAGTGGGCTAGCTAGGATACTGGATATTCAGTCTGCTGCTTAGAAATGCTGTCATCTGCCAAGGTTCACTCTAATACCTGCTGAAACTGATGTCGGTGGGCCCCACGGGTGACTTATGTGAAGCGGGGAGGAGAAAGACAGTCACTTTCTCCCCACCCGCCTCTGCCACTCGGGACCCAGGGTTACTGGGTTCTTGTCTCACCTCACAGAAAGGAATTTCAGGAGTAGACAAGCAGTGAAGTAAATAGATTTTATTTGGAGGATTTTTAGGTATGGAGGGAGGGAGAGGGAGGGAGAGAGTAAAGTTAAACACGAAAGCATGAAAGTACACATCTCAAGAGGGGAGATGCGGGCGACACATGTGCTCGGGCACCACATGTGCTCGGCCACGTGGGCGCAAGCAGCACATGGGCTCTGGCAGCAAATGCACGCGCTTCCTTTGTTCAAGGTGGCCTTTATAGGGTTTCTCCAACCTGCCCCCACGTGGGGCTTCTTCCCAGGTAAATGTCCCGTTGCTAAGGAGGTTACTAGGGAAGATGGGAGTGGTGATGGTCTTTGAAATTCCTTTCCTGGCCTTTTGTTCCTAGAGGAGCTTCTTTGGGTCTGTTGCTGGAGCCAGGTGAGGGCCTTAGTTCCTGTTTTCCTATTTTCTGCAGGGCTGGCTTTTTGCCTCGGGAGGGGGCCCTCCCTGTCTACCTGCCTACATCAAAACTTCATGTATAGTCCTTGCCCAGAGGAATGAGGATAAGGCATGGGGCAGGAATGGGGACAGAAGGGGTATTTCCCTACCTCAGAACCCCTATTCAAATTTTTCATTCTCCCTTGAAAGGCAAGCTGTGGAGTGAACATATTGAACTCCATACAGTTATTTTATTGACCATACAGTTACTTTGTCAAGCATATCGAATGCCAGGCTATTGTTCAGGCATAGCTGCTTGTAAGCACCTGTAGGAAGAGTGTACTCTACACAGTGCCTGTGTAGTTAATGTATTAAGCAGGTGGCTTCATATACAGTGGCTTAGTAGTATAATTAATGCAGTGGCTGCTCTTAAAAGCATTACATGATGATTGTCTAATTTGCTACTGAAATAGGAAGAATGTATATATTACTAAGGTTTTTCTGAGTAACTTAGATTTTCCATGTACATGAAAATTCTAAAACTAAATCATGATGAAGCATTTTAACTCTTGATCTGAGTATAAAACTGATTGATTCTTTAGAATTTCCTGAGCCATCAGATTCCTTTGGAAATAATTTATTATAGCTAGTGTTTATATAGCACTGTATCTTTTTTGTTTTTGTTTTGTTTTGTTTGGGCGTGGGATGCACACCCTATGGTGCTCAGGGCTTACTCCTGCTCTGTACTCAGGTATTATTCCTGGGGGACTCAGAACCATATGGGGTGCCAGGGATTGAACCCAGGTCAAGTACCTGCAAGGCAAGAGCCCTACTCACTATACAATAGCTCCAGCGCATTTCTGCATTCTTTATAAAGTATATACACATAAGTAATAGTAGAAAAAGCAAGGGTATTACTTAATTTCATTTGTTGATAACTTACTGATGAGTTGGCTTCTTGCCTAAAAAAAATAACAAAACAGAATTAGAAAGACCTGATATTAGAATCAGTATCCCAGGGCCTTATATTGGAACTTGGAAGAGGGAGGATTATTTTTTAACAGCATTGTAGCACACTGTAACACTGTCCTCCCATTGTTCATCAATTTGCTCGAGTGGGCACCAGTAACGTTTCACAACAAATTGTGAGACTTGCTGTTACTGTTTTTGGCATATCGAATACGCCACAGGAAGCTTGCCAGGCTTTGCCATGCAGGTGAGATACTCTCAGTAGCTTGCCAGGCTCTCTGAGAAGGGCGGAGGAATCGAACCCAGACGGCTGCGTGCAAGGCAAACGCCCTCCCCGCCAAAATCATTTAAATTGTGGATGTTTATATTCAGCCAAGGGAATGAATTTCCCCCCAGTAAAATGTCAATACAGATTTAACGGTTGCTCTGAAACTCCTAAATACATACCATCTAATTTGAAATTGTGAGGTTTCAGCTGTCTTGTTACTCTGACCTTGGATCTTTCCCTTTCACCCTGGAATGTCTCAAAGACCCACAGCATAGCTGATGAGCAACAAGAACCCATCTAGGGCCCAGACACTATGGTGATAGCGCTTCCTTTAGTTTTGCTTATTGCAGTTCTGTCCGGTGTTTCGGCATCTTCACTCCGCAGATGGTTAGAGCATTTGCTGGTATGTCAAGAAGAGTAGCAGCTTTTAGAGAAGCAGACAGGATAGTAAACAGTTGTTCTTTTCTTTTCTGTTGTCTTTCCTGTTGTTGTGGGGATCCCCCATTTGATTTCAAGGTTCTACCCCAGCAGGATCAAGCCTGAGGCTTCAGGGATGTAAACAGTCACTGCCCCAGGCCTAGGAAAATTTACTTTTGCATTCTCCTGTGCTGGAAGAGCACTTGTCAGTGAGAGATCATCTTTCTGTGGGTTCTTAGAGGTCTGTGTGTTGTATGTATACAGAGCTATCTTCAATTACCAGCTGCTGCTGTCTGGTTTCCAGTGGCTCTCTCACAGGTTTCATATTCCACAGGATGAGAACTCTGCTATTTGGATATTTGTTTTGCTTTGAACTACTACTTTCCAGTTCCATAGAATGGAAGTGTAAATCACGTGGTTGTTGTTGTGGTTGTTGTTTTCTCTTATTGGATATTGCCACTAAACCAACATTTTACCAATTCAGCATTTTCTCTCTAGCTTCTGAATGTTCCTAATAGAAGAATTTGTGTGCGTGTGTGTGTGTGTGTGTGTGTGTGTGTGTGTGTGTGTGAGTGTTCCAGATTAAGTTCTCAATTTTGTCACTTAGAATCTTCCTTAAAATGAAAGTTGGGGCTGGAGCAATAACACAGTGGGTAGGGCTTTTGCCTTGCACACGGCTGACCTGGGTTTGATTCCCAGCATCCCATCCCATATGGTCCCCCGAGCACCACTAGGAATATTCCTAAGTACATGAGCCAGGAGTAACCCCTGTGCATCACCGGTTGTGACCCAAAAAACAAAACAACAACTACCTAAAACCCAGAAACAAAACGAAAGCATATATTATAAAGGAGGAAAAAGCACTAAATATTATCTCTTGTATAGGTTAAAAAGGTTAGTTCTCTTATCCTTTTCAAGGGGGAGCTGCACTATTGCTCATTTTCTTCTCTCATTTGAGTCCTAAGATCATTAGCATCCAGGTCTCTTTTATACTCTTTTGTGGATAGAAATGTTACAGCAAATAGACATCAGAATTGAGGAACAAATATAGACACAGAGGGTTTCTACAAATTCTGAAATGTGGCTTATAAACCAGATTTATTTAAGCTGTGTTTTCAGGGAAGGGACAGGAATGTCTTCACTTAGGAGAGAAATTTGAGTTTCCTAGCATATATGCTAGGAAATCGGGTGGTCAAATACATTGAGAAGAAAATTAAGTAGCCCTTTACTTTCCTCTAGTTCCAAATATAATACAGTGTGGAGTTGTAGTAAAGATGAACAAGCTCCCAGTGCCTCATTGTTTTCTTGGTTGTTTTTCTTCATAGTGCCCTGCATAGCTGCCATGATATAGTTTTACGAAGAAGCTACTTGGGAAGTTGGGGCTTTAGTATTGTTGGTGGCTATGAAGAGAACCACACCAATCAGCCTTTCTTCATTAAAACCATTGTCTTGGGAACTCCTGCTTATTATGATGGACGATTAAAGTAAGTCTTGTTATATGTCATGATATGATTTGATTTATGTAATGGACATGACCTAGGCCACAGTCAGCTGGTCTAGAGTCTGGGTCATCTCCAGATCCAGCCTGTTAACTGTTCATGTAAGTAAAGTTTTATTGGAACATTGCCACGCTCATTCGCTTACATACTACCCCTGGCTGTTAGTCAACTATGTAGTATTAGAGTTGAGTCATTGTGACAGAGATGATAAGAGTCACAAAGCCCAAAATATTTACCTTCTGGCCCTTTATGGAGGGCGGGGGGTGTGGGTGGGGGGAAGAAGTCATTCCTGGGCTACACTCAGGTATTAGCCTCACAACCTTGCTACTCATAACTATATTTTGCTAATCTAATGATAGCAACAGGACCTGAGTCATATCATTCCACGCAGTGTGACATGGCAACTAGCTCTCAGCAATTTTTCCATATAACACATGCAGGTGTAATCCTGTCATTAGATGACTGCTTTATTTTCCTCTACAGTAGTTATATTTATGTGCCTGACACTATGTTTATGCAAGTCCACCAGGGAAGGATTTAGCTGCCCTTTTTTTGCATATCCCTGCACATATACAGGTCTCAGTAAATACCTGGTGAATGACAGTGCACCAGCCTCTGTGCTCAGGCCTTATATTTTTGAATCTCTTTGATGGTCCCATGAGGTAAGTATTATTTCTATTTGATTATGGCTGTTTCCAAATAGCTAAGGTTTGGAAAGATGCAGAAATTTGCCCACAATCAAATACCTAAAAGTAACTGACTGCAGTTCCACCCCAGGACTGTCCGTGCTCTGAACTTTGCCATTGACCCCTCTGCTCCTTGCATCACTATGCAGAAAGGGCTTCTCACCCCTTTGTGCTGCAAACTCCTCTTCTCCAAAGTGTAGGTGCTAGAGGAAGAAAGGGGTGTGATAGCAAGCAAGAGGTTTTACAACAGGAGGAGGTGGGTGATTTCAAGTTCTTAGCACCTAGTTTTGGATTAAATGACTGGATTTTAAAAAAAAAACAAATGTTGACACACTTGGTAGACAACTGCAGAAATAGACACTGCATCATTTGCCAAAAAAAAAAAATTATGACTAATATTGGGGAAATCTGATCCAGATTGGTAATTATGATCCAGATTGGTATTATATGAAAATAGGAAAACCATTATTATAGGAAGAAAGAATACAGGGAAGAGAACTAACCATTGTCTTAGCCAGATTACTCAATCAGTACTCAAAACAAAGTTGAAGTAGGTAGCAGTAAAATAGCATTTTTTTATATTAGTGAATCACTATGAGGTACAATTACAGATTTACCAACTTCCATGCTTGCATTTCAGTCATACAGTGGTCGAGTACCCATCCCTCCACCATCTTCCACCATCAATGGTCTCAGCATCTCTCCCACCATTCCCACCTTGTCTCCCACCCCCACCCCTCCTCTGTGGCAGAGCATTCTCTTTAAAGTAGCATATTTTTTTTTATGAACCTAAGACCACAAATCATGAAGAATAGATGTGTCTTCTGGATTCTCATTCATCTGTGATAATGGGGCTGGAGCGATAGCACAGCGGGTAGGGCGTTCACCTTACAAGCAGCCAACATGGCCAACCCGAGTTCGATTCCTCCACCCCTCTCGGAGAGCCCAGCAAGCTACCGAGAGTATTCGATATGCCAAACACTGTAACAACAAAGTCTCCAATGGAGATGTTACTGGGCCCGCTTGAGCAAATCGACGATCAATGGGAGGGCCTTTACTTTACTTTTACTTACTTAATTCTGCTTGTAGGGAAAGTACCAGAGTGAGCAAAAGGAAATATGGGTCAAATTAAATTAAAATTTCAGTTTAGCAGCTGGAGCAGTAGTATAGCAGGTAGTGCATTTGCCTTGCATGTGGCCCACTGAGGTTAAATCACAGGCCATATCCCTTATGATCCCTCAAGTATCACCAGGAATAATTCCTGAGGGCAGAGCCAAGAGTATCACCAGATATAGCCCAAAAACAAGCAACAAAAAAGATTTCAGTTTAACTGAGTACTCAGTTAATGAACTCTATACACCAAGAAATGACAATTATTAAAAAATAACAAAAACCCATTCTAAATGTATTATTTGGTTGTTCTCTTTTAGAATGGCAACAGATTAATTCTGTTAATTATACTTTGGCCTAAGATTATAGAAACATTTCTGCTTACCTTTGTAATTACTGAAGGGGTTGTACATTGGTAAGGAATAAGCCAGTAGGGGCTTCAAAATCACTCCACACATAAATATATATATATATGTATATGTGTATGTATATCTCAAAGCAGATCCTACATCCCTATCTTTGAAAGGGAGTTTAGTAGAACTGTGATTTTCCATGCTACACAAATCCCAGGACGATGTTTTCCTAACAAGACAACAGTAATAGTCTGTCTCTGTTCTTCCAGGTGTGGTGACATGATCGTGGCTGTGAACGGCCTATCCACCGTGGGTATGAGCCATTCTGCGTTGGTTCCTATGTTGAAGGAGCAGAGGAACAAAGTCACTCTCACTGTCATTTGCTGGCCAGGCAGCCTTGTGTAGTTTTTAAAGATTGACTTTGGGTCAAATATCTTCCCTTTTGAGGGTTTTGGAATGAAAACCCTATAGTTGATTGTGTTTCCGGTTGTCAGGAGCTACTCACAGAGCTGGGCAAGTACTAACACCACAGGACCAAAACCCACTGAGATTGTCCTTCTCTTTTTATTTCAATGATTTTCCTCAAGTTAGCCACATTTCTTTCAACTTGAAGCAGTTCAGCTTGAATCTCCCACTAACTCTTGCGAGTTCATCCTCTCGGAATTGGATGCCCAGCTGTCCGAGTGGACCTGCGATCATGAGTGGACCTTTACCACCAGTGACCAGCAGTAGCAGCAGCTGATTAGCAGACTCCTGGTGGCTCTTTGTTTGCAGTGACTGGGTCATCAATTGAGTCAAACATGGGTCAAGATTGGTGTCTGTGAAGCCAGTAGCAAGAGCGTTGGTTGCTGTGGTGGCACCCAGGGCTGTGCATGAATACATTTAAAATTTGGATGATGACCCTTTGCTCACTTTTTATTGGTGCCAACATTTCAAAACTTCATATTGTTTATAAGTTTTCGGGGGGTTCTTTGCCCCCTCTGGCTTATTTCTATTTTAATCTCTCAATACTCATGGATGATGAGAAATAAGTCTGCCATCACTAAAGAGATTTTAAAAAATAATGTACCATTATTAGAATAGTAGAGAATAAAAGATAATGTCATCCAGTGACAAAGGAATTTGGGAAGTAATTATAGTTTAGTGCTAGAGATGGTAAAAGCTGCATTTACTTGAACAGTCCAAAAGCTTTAAAGATTCATTTCCAAAGGAATGCTTTATTATAGGAAGAGTTTTGAAGCAGTTTTTGCTAAAAATGATTTTCTAGAGTCTGTACTATACTTATCAGCAGTGTTGGCTGGAAATGTTCTTGTGATTTATGCAATTAAACTAGACGATAAAGCTAAAACCATATTGCTATTATATATACACTCAATCTCACAGCTTAGTAGGCAGTTAGACCTTTTGTTTTATTCTGAGCAAGATTTATGAGTGTCCTAGAAACTTACTAATTCCTGTTCTTATAAACTTAGTTATATCAAGAGAAAGACTATGGAGCTGGAGCAGTAGTCCATCAGGTAGGGCTTATTTGTGCCTTGCACGCAGCTGACCCGAGTTCGATCCCCATTACCCCATGTTGTTCCCTGAGCCCCACCAGGAGTGATCCCTGAGTGCAGAGCCAGGAGCAGCTCTGACCACCACTGGAAGTGATACCAAAACATGGAAAAAATGGAAAAGTTCTGATTTTTTAAATCTGAAATAATAAGTTTAAGGCGTTCGTATCATTCATTTAGTTCTTGGTCACTGGATGGTTTTCATTATTTTTTTTTAAATGTGATTGACAACTCTGACCAACCCTTTTTGTTTCTTGTTTATTCAACATAGTTGTCCTTTGCAAGAGCATATTAAGAAGTGAATATGAGAAAAATATCTATCTTATTGATATTATGCATACTTGAAAAAATGTTTCATTTAGAAACCTAGTTCAGTATCTGAGCTAATTTACAAGTGACCTCTGTAATAACTGGTATCGATTGTCAGAGAATGTATTTCAGAATACAGCAGTACATTAAGAAGCATGACCACTTTATTTTCAAACTTAGCAATTGCATTTCTGGGAGTTATTATATTTATAGCATGTCACTGAATATTCCATTGCTTTTATAATGATTTTTAAAACATATCTCTTTTGAATAAATAAATAGTGGCAGTAATTGCTACTGATTTGTCCAACCTGTTAGTTGCACTGTATTTTTATCATATAACCAAGATACAGTGGAATGCCCCATACAGTATATTACTGTTATGTGATGATTAACTTTTGAAGCAATTTGATACTGAAATGCTTTGATATTCGAATTGACATGGAACAAGTTGTTTTCCTGCTCCTCAAATAGAATTTTGTAATCTACTTTGCTATTTTTTTAAAGTTTGTAAGAATGCATCATTTTTTGGGGAGTGGTCATCCATCAGCAAATATCCTGAGACTTTGTTTTATATATATATATATATGTATGAATAGATATGTGTATATATATACACACATACATATATATGTAATACTTACATTGACTCTAGTGGAATAATGCGTATTTTGAAAGAAGAAATTTTTCAATATTTTTTATTATAGAAATCTCAAAATCAGCTGAAGCTGGTTTTTATTACAAAAAGCTAAAGCTTTTGGTCAGAATGATATTTGGTGATGGAAACTTGTTCATAATTTGCTGTTACCGTTGAATAGTTGAATTTTCTCATTTTAAGCTTAAATAGTTAAATATTTTGATTTGTTCTGTGCCTTCACTTTAAATTATTTCTGGAGTTCTCAGATATGTTCAAATAATGGTGTGATAATCGTTCAAGATGGAAATAAAAGTCCTCTTTCCATAATAGTAGAGTGTTCTCTTTGCTTGAGCAGCAGATGTTGACTCAGTGTGTGATGCCCATTTTTCTGCCAAGCACCACTCACAATATCCCAGGCTTGAAATCTCAGCACCACAAAGCCACCATCTAACCCATTCCTGGTGGCAGGACACATAGGATACTTGCTGCCTCTGGGCTGCTTCGTCCAATGCGTGTGGCTGCTGAGTGTCTGAAATGAGCCTCGTGTTGCATGTTGGTGCGCAGGTGATTGCACAGTCGCATTGATCCCCATTATTACTCCAATGGGTTCCCTGTGGCCCCTGGGTCCTGCCTCCACAAAGGCTTATGGTTTCCTTCCGTTTTCCCTCACTGCAGGTTTTCCATGGCCCAAATTTAGAGCCAGAGCTTGAAAGGGGCCCCACCTCGTTCCTCAAGGGAATTATCTTCCTGTGATGAAGGTTGCAGGCATTTGGACTTGTGCTTGTTAAGGTCCTGACCACTTCCAGTATAACTGTTGTCTTAGGTCATTAGGGACCATCTTTGATTCCCACCTTGCAATGCTGCATTTCACTGATGCCCATATCTGTAACCCTCAAGTCTGTGGATTGAAAAACAAGGAATGTGTGAGGAAAAAGTCAGTGCCAAGGAGCCTAAGGTCCCTAATGACTAGCTGTGACATGCCATCAGGGCTGGGATCCTTGAACAGAAAAGATGCTCAGCCTAGATTATTTCTCTGGAAGACCTCGGGCTCTTTAAGGTCTCTCCTTTTTATTTTATGCATCAAAATCTCAGTCCTTCAAGCTAAACATGTTTTCCCAGACATTTAACTACTTTAATCTTTCAGTCCTTATTTGGTTTTGGAACCACCTTTGGCAACGTTCAGGGCTTACTACTGACTCTGCACTCAGGGATCACTCCTGGCAAGCTTAGGGGACCATATGGGGTATCTGTCAGATCAAATCCAGGTCAGTCACATGCAAGGCAAACACCCTACCCACTGCGCTATCTCCAGCACCCTCAATCCAAACTTCGAAGCCTGCAGAATAGCTTTTCCAAATCCTGTTTCTGATCATCAGTCTGACCTGATTTTTGCCCTGTTTAAAAGTCTTCAGTAGCTCTTCATTGTCTGCAGTAAAAGGGCAGACTTCTGGCAAAATGCAAAGGCTCTTCACCACCTGACCTGCCTCCCTCTGCCTCCCTTCCCACCCACCCCTGCCTCACTGTAACTCACCGCTCACCCCTGTTGTCTGTGCAGACAGACTTGCTCAGTGATCTTACCTCTGGGGAAATCTTTACCGACCTCTGGAAAAAGATTGTTTTTAACTCTTCTCAAAAGATTTGACCCTTTTTTTACTTTGCAGTCAGAGGAAAGCAGTGACTTTCCAGGGAAATGCCTGATTACTATTAATTCTTGTAATTTTTTGAGTAGCAAATGTCATGTCTTTTGAAGAGCCCAAGGTCTTCCAGAGGAAGGATCTAGGCCGAGTGTCTTCTGTGTTGATATCCTAGTGTTTGTCACAGCTAGTTGTCAAGGCCTTGGGCCCCTTGACCTTCCCACAGACTTCCCTTGTTCTTGAGGCTCTGACAGTGTTCCACCAGTCAGAGATGTCAGAGTCAGACTGCTATGGTATCTATTGGTTAGACAGGTGTTACAGGTTTGGGGCGGGGGGGCAGGGGAACACGGAGCAGGCCAAGGGAAAGTACTATTTCCTCATGTCATATCAAGGGCACAATCTGTCAACATGATTTCTGACTGCTGTTAGTGTTGACCTTGCTTACCTAGGGTTGGTCTGGTTAAATATCTCTCTCTCTCTCTCATTCTCCCTCCCTCCTTCCTCCCTCCCTGTCTCTCCCCCCTCCCTTTCCTTCTCCCTCTCCCTCTTTTTTCCTTCATCCCCTCTTTTCCCCCTTTTCCTTGCTTCCAGCATCTCTGTCCCTTCTCTGTATCCTCTCTTACCTCTCCTCTATACACATACATACGTCTTTGGACAAAAGTTGCTGTTCTCAGTGCTGGAGCGATAGCACAGTGGGCAGGGTGTTTACTTTACATGCGGCCCACCCAGGTTCAATTCCCAGCATCCCATATGGTCCCCTGAGCACCGCCATGGTTAATTCCTGAGTACAGAGCCAGGAGTAGCCCCTGTGCATCGCCGGGTGTGACCCAAAAAGCAAAAAAAAAAAAAAAAAAAAGTTGCTGTTCTCAAGTCACAGCCGTGGGAGTTATTCTTGAGCTTGTTGGGGAAATAAGGGACCCTCTGGCATTGGCTGTAGAGGCCTTGTGGAGTGGAAGTCCTTCTTTGTGACAGTCAGGCGTGTATTTTTTCTCTCAGAATTCCTCCCTTGACTGCTTTTTTATCGTAAAATTTCCCAGAAGAGTCCAGTATGTGCTTCTTCACTTTCACTCTTTAATTAGTAATTATTTCTTACACAAAAAATTGTAGAATTGTTTTGTTTTCTGTCTGATTTTCAGGCCACACCTCACACCTGACTCTGCTCAGGGCTTACTCCTGGCTCTGTGCTCAAGGATCACACTTGGGAAACAATATGGGGGTACCTGGGATCCAACCCAAGTCCAGCTAAGTGCAAGGCAAGTGCCCAATTTGCTGTACTACCATTCTGTTCCCCAGAAGTTGTATAAATGAATAACAAACACTTGTGTACACCCCCATCGAGTCTGAGCTATTGAAGTTCATTCTCTAATTACATCAACTTTCTGATCTTTCCAGGTACGTCTTCATGATTGCACAACATATTTATCTTTGAAATATTGTACCTCTGGGCTGGAGCGATAGCCCAGCAGGTAGGGTGTTTGCCTTGCATGTGGCAGACTTGGCCCACCCAGGTTCGATTCCTCTGCCCCTCTCGGAGACCTGGGCAAGCTACTGAGAGTATCTTGCCCACACAGCAAAGCCTGGCAAGCTACCTGTGATGTATTCGATATGCCAAACATGGTAACAAGTGTCACAATGGAGATATTACTGGGCCCATTCGAGCAAATCGATGAACAACGGAAAGACAGTGACAGTGATTGTACCTCTGTGCTTGCTTTTAAAACTATATAAAGGTGCCAAGCTGGGGACTGAATGGTAGTACAGTTGGTACAGAATTTGCCTTGTATGCAGCTGACCTGGATTTAATTCCTGGTATCCTATATGGTCCCCCGAGCACCACCAGGAATAATTCCTGAGCGCAGAGCCAGGAGTAACCCCTCAGCATCACTGGGTATGTCCTTCCCCTTCCTCCCCCCCCCCCCCAAAAAAAAGTGCCAAGCATATTTGGTGTTCTGTGCCTAAATATTTTTGCTTGGTGAAATTCATTATTTGTTTATGTTGCTTGTTTATTTTCACTAGTATTTGTCCAACCACTTAGCACATTTTTATCCTGTCATTTAGTTGCTGGATTTCATTTTGTTTGGGGCTGTCTTTCACATACTGCTGTGACCCCTCAAAACTAAAATGTCCAGCTGTGCCTAGGACACTTTCTCTAGGACTGTGCTTCTGTATCAAGCTGGTTGTGCAGTTTCACTGGGAGAACATGTGAAAGATCCCATTGCTAATTTGGTTGCTCTGGGGTGGGACTGGGCATCAGTTTGGTTTGATGTTGAGTGCTCCTCAGAGACATGGTCAGGCCAGGAGCTATGCCAGTCCATAGTTCTACTTGTCATGTGGATGTCTTTTGTTCCACATTTGTGCCAGTATTTGATTTTGTCAAACTGAAGGGGATGAAATGGCATACCACGCGGTTTCAATTCATAGTTTCCTGATGATCAGTAAAGCCCAGTATTTCCTTGTATTTCCTTGCCATTCTGGTCTCCTCTTTGCTGAGTCAGCTGACCATTTTCTCATGGGCTATTTGCATTTCTCTTAATAAAAATTCATTATTCTACATATTTGTATTTGGTAGGTTATGTGCAATACAGATATTTTCTCCCAGCTTATGATTTCTCTTTCCAACTATGTAGTGATGTAATAAACTGGTCTATTGTTAAAGAAAGATGCATAGAAAGAATATATGAAAAAAAAATTTTTCTTTTTTTTTTTTTTTCACTTTTTGGGTAACACCTGGTGATGCACAGGGATTACTCCTGGCTCTGCACTCAGGAATTACCCCTGGCGGTGCTCAGGGGACCATACAGGATGCTGGGAATTGAACCCGGGTCGGCTGCATGCAAGGCAAACGCCCTACCCACTGTGCTATCACTCCAGCCCCATGAAAATTATTTTTAGGGGGTCAGAGAGAGAACTCAATGGGCTGAATGTATGTTTTATATGCAGGAGGCCTGGATTAGGTTCCTACCACCGATACAGTCCCCTGAGCAACAAGTCAGAAATAGCCCCTGAGACCACTGGGTGTGTTCCAAATATCAAAAAAAAAGTTCTTTTTTTTTTTAAAAATCTACTTTTATCATTTCTGTCATTGTCCGTTATATTATTTTTTTCTTCCATCTTATATTGGACTTTCAACTTCCTATAGCTCTCTTTGCTCGTGTTCTGTCCTGCTGAGCCACAGATAGGCTCCTGTAGCTTCTTTGTGCTTCTTTAACCGAAAGTCTCAGGTTGTCTCCCCCCTCTACCCTGCGACACCTCTGCTCCAGCTGTCCTAGTGTGATGTGGAGGCAAGATCTGTAGTTCTGCCTGACTTTCTTCTTCATTTGATTGTTGTTACCACTTTGTTTTGACTAATCCAGATTTATTTAGGTTTTATTTCTGAACTATGCTAGATTCAGACACATGAACACAGAGTCCTGACAGTTCTTGACATTCCAGTACCGTCCCTCAGAGAACACGTGGGAACCAGCAAAGAAAGGTTTATGGTAACACTGACCTTGAGAGTCTGGGAGTTGAAGTTGCGGTCCAGAAGGAAGAATTTCATAAAACCGCATCGCCCTGCTCATATCACCAGTTTCCATCATATTTACAATTACTAAAGCAATTTTATTTTTTCCCCATTAAAATCATTGTCACCAATTTATTTAGGGGGAGGAGGGACTTCACCAGACTGTACTCAGGCATTTCTCCTGGCTCTGT